GGGGAGAGAGATTTGAGGTGGGGGCGGAGCGGGTGGGAGGGGCCGGAGCAAGGCCAGAGTTGATTGGAGAAATGGGAAAAGATCCATTGGTGGGACGGAGAAGGGGCGGGGTCTGATCATAAAGGAGGCGGGGCATAGTGTGGGGGCGGGGACAGGGCGGAGCTAGATGGAGGAGGCAGGACTTACTCGAAAGAACGATGTTGGTTGGCCACAGCCGGACGCAGGGCTGATTCTCAGAGGCGGGGTGTGGATGAAAGTGGGTGTGGCCAATGAAGGGGTGGAGTCCGTTGTAGCAATGAGCCCGTCTGTGGTTTACAAGGTTTGAGTTCTTGTACGAATGGGAGACTGAGGCTTCAGCGGAGTTCGGCCTTTTTCGGAAGCCTTGCGGGGTTGCTATGGCGCCGAGGCCCTCCTGGCGGTTTGACCGGAGGGAGGGGCTCTCAGAGGCCCCGCCCCCGCCGCGGCCCCGCCCCCGCCGCCATGCGGCCCGCCCCGACTTCGCTCTGGCTGCGCCTGACCTTGGCCCTGGGTCTGGCCCTCGTTGGCCTCCTGGCCCCAGGGTGGGCCTCGGCCAGGGCCCCCATCTACGTTAGCAGCTGGGCCGTGCGGGTATCCCTGGGTTACCCGGAGGCCCAGCGCCTAGCACGCAAATTGGGCTTCGTCAACCTAGGGCAGGTGGGTGGGACCGGCTGGTGAGGAAGAGGGGACCCTGGAAGACCCCAGGCCCCCACGTTTGGGAGGGCTCCTCCAAGGGCCTCCAGAAGCCCCAGCCCACCCTCTCTTTGGCCACTCTCAGCTCTCAGGACTCGCAGAGGACACGGGTAGTCCCACCCCGCAGCAGGCCCCTCCATGGGGAGTGGTCCCAGTGCTGCCATGCCCCCCTTCCCCAGATCTTTCCTGACGGGCAGTATTTCCACCTGCGGCACCGGGGCGTGGCCCCACAGTCCCTGACCCCACACTGGGGCCACTGCCTCCGTCTGAAGAAAGACCCCAAGGTGAGTGTAGCCTGAAAGTTGCCCTCAGAGTCTCGACCACCCCCAGGGGACGGGCCAGCTGCCGTCTGTCGTCTGGTGGTGGTGAGGAATGGCTGCACGGCCTTTGGGGCCACTGCCCTGTGTATGGATGCAGAGTGGTCCTGGCCTACAGGGAGCCGGGGCGCTTCCCACTGCCCCACCCCCTGCAGCCCACCCTGGAAGGTGAAGGGTGGCCGGAAGGTGGGGAGCCTCAAGTCACGCCGAGGTCGTAGCTGACAGGGCCAGAAGCCAGCGTGGAGAACTTGGAGGCGCTGGGCCGGATCGGCCGGGCCAAACAGGAATGGTCCTGCATCGGGCTCGCCCTCAGGAGCTCGGCAGGGGCGGAGTGCTGCCCGGCTGCAGCCCCGGAGACGGGGAGAAGCAGCCAGCACTGATCGGCACAGCGGACCCAACACCTCTCTCAGTGGACAGAGAGAAAGCAGGGTCCGCTCCTAAGCCCTCAGCCGAGGGGGCTGAGCTGGCGGAGAGACAGGCGGACGGCAGGAACCAGGGTCCCGGGGTGGAGTGGACACAGAGCCCTTGGGCCTCGAGGTGGCCACTCGTAGCTGAGTGAGCAGGAGGGAGGCCGCTGGGGGCCAGACAGGCAGGGGACAGGGTGTGGGAGCCACCAGGGGTGCCAGCACAGTGACGCTGCCATGTCCCTGAGTGGGCTGCAGAGAGCCAGGGCAGCTGGAGGACAGGCCGAGTGGCTACACCGGGGGGCCCAAAGAGACACTC